CGCTATGGGTGTTTTTTGTGCAATAATTGGTGACTGTACATAGCTGTCAAGATTCAGCTTTACATTTACAAACTAATGGTATATTAGAATATTAAATGGCATCGCAAACACAAATCATACAGATGGTAAAATTTTAACGAAAAAAAACATTTAGTTTAAGTATTAATAAGTATTATGTACTGTACCCACGAGCGCATTCTACTGTGCTGCTCCCACAAGGCGACAGCGGCGAGAGACGCGGCTGGAGGCGCTGACCGCTGCTGCGCTCCCAGCCCCGGGTCCCAGCAAGGGCCTCAGTCGACATTTCTGTGGCGAGGATTCTTTTAGCTGAGCCTGAGACTCAGCCCTGGGCTCATGACTACACGCACCGTGATCACATTGGGGAGATAACGTCTAAACGACAAATTGTGGTATTTTCATTAACTTTATTTTTATTATAATTTGTTTCTATCTACGTCTGTAAAAGATGTGGTTCCAGACATACAGTACCCGGGCGTCTATAAACTAAGTTGCCTCTGTGGTAGCAGCTACATTGGAGAAACCAAACGACATGTCTCGGACCGCATCCGTGAACATAAAGCAGACTTGAAACACGGTAGGACGAATACCTCAGCCGTGGCAGATCACTGTTATAATTCAGTAGGCTCACATGACATCGATTTTTCCAAGACGGAGGTTCTTTGCAAGCCATCTGGCTACCATGAGAGATTCGTTCATGAGGCCATCCACATATACAAACACAGAGACAATTTCAACCGAGAAGATGGATTCTGGCTTAGTAACCATTGGAAAGACGTTTTAAACCATTTCGGTTCCTAATTGATTGTATTTTACGGTGACTTTCAGACTGCAGTCCATTCGCTGGCACTGCCTCTTAATACCTTTCACACGACGGTCAATGGTATGGTTTATAGCATGTTGTATAAGAATAAACAGTATAACATAGTAATGTTCAACATAATTCATAAGGCGATATATAGTTTCACAATTGTATAGTGAATATAAAGCAGTGTGGTATACAGTAGGGTTGGTAGAATAATACATAGTGTAATATTACAAGTCTAATATTTTACAGTCTAAAGTAGAGGGTAGTGTATAGTAACGCATTGTATAATTCGAAGGTGGAATTTGTTTATGGATATGTTATACCAAAGTATAATATATTGTATAGTAGTCCAGTTCATAGCATAGTTATAAAGCAACACAGGACAGAACAGCGCACCTTGACGCTCCTCTTTTCTTTTTCAACCCCCCCTCTTCCGTTCCGAGTCATGTGCCCCATATTAACATGCTAATTCATGTTATTTCCTCCCACACAGCTTAAAAGGCACCGTCCGAGCTTGGCGATGCTCACTCGAGCGCTGTCTTCTGGACAGTCTTGTCTCTTCACCTGAAGAAGGCTACTTGTGTTGTGGCCGAAACGTCGTGAGATTATATGTTTAGTTTTTATTATTTTATTTCCATTTTACGTGACTTTACCAAAAGAACCAAGAAGATTTACCGAAAGAACCAAAGAATGTGAATTCCTGCAGTCACGAAAGTTTTAAGTCAAAAGACAACACCTAAATAATCGATGTTTTAAAGTTACCATGAATCGTGATAATCGAATCGTGTGGGGGTGGCAACTGATTGGTTCAGAGTGCACGACGCTCTCATTGGTCGAGCGAATGATGGGGGCGGGTACATTTACTCGTCCAGCTCTGCTTTGTATTCTCACTCGTAGAGGCTTTGTAGATTTGTTAATTTCATTTATTTTTGTTGATGTTAAAATGTTCCCTGGTAACGAATCGGCGTTCTACGGGGGTCGCCCTCAGCCGGTTCTGCCGGTATCTCTGCTGTCTCTAAACCAGCTGAAGCCTCCCACGCATCACGTGACTTGTGTTTGAGTTTTATTTCAGTTTATTTTATTTTGGTATAGCCATGTGAGCTATTCGGCCCTTGAATCGGGTGCAACCACAACAAACAAAAAACAAGAACAAGAAAACACCTTAAAGTGTGGCCACCCCCACCCTGAACCCCTCCCCTTTCATCTGCAGATCTCTCTACATCAGTGGTAGGGCAGAACGAATTGGGGGAAATATCTAATTGCGATTTTTCTGACATTGCGAGATTTAAAACATGTGATGGAGCATTACCACATGATAGCATTAAAATATTAACTGCTCTATATATTCTACTGCAAGGATGAGAACTTAAAATATATGAATTGCTTCCAACATGTATTTATTAAAATGTTTTTTTTATTGAAATAGAACAATCAAACATAGCTGATTGGAGAATATAGAGTTTATTGATAACATGAAGGTAATTTATATTTTAGTTTTTATTGGTTCACTATATAGTACTGTGAATAGCTCAAATGTGTAGTCATTTCTGTGACCAGTCACTAGCTAATCACTCAGTTGTTTCAATGCTGGATTCGCCTAGTTATTTCAATGCTAAATTCTCCTGTTTGATTTGTACTAAGGGCCTCGGTGAATGTGTATGCTCTGACTTTAACGTAGCTATTTCTGCAGCAGGTACAAGCTCTATTTCTGCAGCAGGTACAAGCTAATCACTCACCTATCTCAATGCTAAATTCTATGCTAATTCCATTGTCAAGATGTGTATGCCTTAACTTAGCTATTTCAATGCTAAATTCTATGCTAATCCCTTTAACAATGGGTGCCTCTGCGGGTGTGTATGCTTTAACTTTTAACATAGCTATTTCTGTGACCAGTCACAAGCTAATCATTCAGCCATTTCAATGCTAAATTATATGCTAATTCCTTTGTCAAGGCGCTTTGTTCCTCTCACACAGCTTAAAGGCCGTATCTGAACGTGGCTCTTTCACTCCAGCGCTGTCCTACCAGACAGTCTCGCCCCCTTCACCTGATGAAGGCCGCTTGTGTTGTGGCCGAAACGTCGTGAGAATATTGTGTTATTTTATCAATGTATTATTTTATTATCATTCTACGTGACTTTACCGAAAGAACCAAAGAAGATAGAACAATTGTTAAGTTAAATAAATAAAGTTATAATATACAAACAATTCCAATAAGTAACAGGACTTTTCGAATAGCAAAAAATCGCAGCCTTTGCGATTCTCTAATCGCGTTGTATCAAATTGCGATTTAGATTTGAAATCGATCAATGGTTCAGCCCGCGTGGTTGGCTGGCTGGTTGTTCGCTACTCACAGTATGGTGATACAATCGTGGTAGTGGTGGTGAGTCGCTAGGCGATGCCTACTCGCTGTGATGGTAAATACAATCGTGGTAGTGGTGGAGTATTGGGGTGGGGCTGGACCCACGCTCGCTCCCCCGTGCACGCGTCCCTAGCGGTGCACAACTCGCTCACTCAATCTCTCACGACCCACCCCCCACTCATTATTAAACCGCGTGCTTCGATTTAATGAAATATGCAGATGGTCGGGATTGCCAGCTCGTAGCGCCAACACATTAGGAGCGCAGCAGACTCAGCGGCAGAGGAGGAGAAGTCACCGGTTGCTGTGCGCGAGTTGGCAGGCGAGGAGGCGGTGGAAGGACGAGTTGAGGTTTGCAGTTCTGCCTGAACGTCTCCCGTGTGCTCCCCTCTGACTCACTCCTCGTCCCGTCGCACGTATAAAAGCCATCGTCGGCAACATCATCGTCATTCATCAGCAGCAGCGGCGGCAGCAAACTTGCTCCCTTTACCCGTCGGCGTTCTCGCCAGCTGAGCACGACACGTGGATTGTGCTTTTTGAGGAACGAACTTTTGCCGTGACCCACTTGGAGTTTCGAGTCGAATTCTAGATTTAAAGCTTTCCGGACTGCAAGGATCCATACTCTTTGGTTCTATTCGGTAAAGTCACGTAGGTAAAACAAATGAAAATAAATTGAAATAAAATGAAAAGAAACAAATAAAACACGACGTTTCGGAGGCAAAGCAAGCTTCCGTCTTCAGGTGGGACCAGTCACAGCAAAATCGCTGCACCAAGTGGTGAGGTTCTGGGAACTTCGAGCTTAAATGCAGGTTGAGGGGGGGGGGCATGTAGGGGACTTTAGTGGAGTGCGGAGCCGAGTTAATCCGTCTTTTGTTGTATAGATGGGTCACTGTGTTTAGTATAAACGGGAAAAAAATGAAGATCGTCAAGGATGTGCTGTACGGGGGCAGTAGAAAAAAGGAAATAGAAAGGTTCGGAAAGAATGGTATACCACTGCTTGAAGTTGCTGTTAGAAATTAGTTAACGTTTGGTATGATTAAAACGTCTTTCCAGTGGTTGCTTAATTTGAAACCATCCTCTCGGTTGAAGTTATGCCTGTGTTTGTATATCTGAATGGCTTCGTGGACAAATCTTTGGTGATAACCTGTAGGTTTACAAAGAACCTTGGTATCGGAAAAGACAATCTCATGGTCACCCATAGCGTTGTAACAATGATCAGCCACAGCAGAAGAATTCGTTCTGTGTTTATCTCTGGCCGAATTCGCGAGCACAAATCAGATTTGAAACACGGCAGAACGCACTCCACTAAAGTCCCCTCATGGCCCCTCCCACACCCCCCCCCCCTCAACCTGTATTTAAGCTCGAGGTTCCCAGAACCTCACCCCTTGGTGCAGCGATTTTGCTGTGACTGGTCCCACCTGAAGACGGAAGCTTGCTTTGCCTCCGAAACGTCGTGTTTTGTTTCTTTCATTTTATTTCAATTTATTTTAATTTGTTTTACCTACGTGACTTTACCGAATAGAACTAAAGAGTACTCGCCGTCGTTTATTGTTTGTTGATGCTGTTGTCTTCAGGTGTTCTTTTAAGCGCCGAGTATACGATTTTGCGAGGGCAATAAGCGCACGCAAAAAATATCATCCACCAGTGTAGCCCTGAGCCGGACCGTGGTGTTAGCGAGCACCTATTACGAGTCGGCACGGAGCACGGCGGGATTGTGTGGCCAACAACACGCACTCCCGGCCGCCTTTGTCTTACCCCCCCCCCGCCAACAACCGGTGTGCTCATTTGAGGCCGAGTCGACCTAGCTAGCTGCCTGCCCACCTGGAGTCCCAGGAGAAGTCGTGACGATGCGCGAACCACTGCACGAGGACGCCAGCACTCAGATACACCGACAGGCATTGCTCGTACGTCCTCGACACACTCGTAGCGGCACCTAATGAGGGCTGCCGGCACACGAGAGAGGGGGGGGGGACGGGTGTGGCCAGCACCACGCCCAGCCGCCTTTGTCTCCCCAGTGGCGATGTTCACTACACACCGCACCAGGTACTAGTCTTGAGGCCGGTTCGGAAAATCGCGCGAACGCATGGCAACACGCTAGCAGTGGATAGGCATTTCCCTTCAGCTGCTAGCTGTGGCTGGAGCGAGGGTCCGTGACCGAAGCGTCAATCACGAGGGCTTTATTTGTTTACAGGTAAAGAGAGTGCGGAGCGGGACAGTGTGGTTCCCCGGGACCATGGCGACTGGTGGACGTGCTAATGATTGACGAGGCGAACGTTGACGGGGTCACGTGAGGGGGGAGGGTCACGTGACCCAATGGCGGGGCACGTGTGATGAGGGCGGTGACGGGGTAACGTGACCCAGTCACGTGACCCAATGGCGGGGGCACGTGACCGAGTGGCGGGGTCACGTGGTGATGAGGGCGGCGAGTGGTGGCGGGGTCACGTGGTGATGAGGGCGGCGAGTGGCGGTGGAGTCACGTGGTGATGAGGGCGGTGAGTAGCGGCGGGGTCACGTGACGAGGGCGGTGAGAAAACTTCGTGATTGGGGGCGGCGTGGCTCGCACCGGGCGAGCTTCAGAAGCGGCGCGAGCCGGAGCCATGGGCTGCTCGGCGTGGGGAGCTGGCGGCATCGTCGTCGACTTGGATCGGCGTCGTCTCCACCGTCTGAGAGTTGTCTTGAGACGAGAAGCTGCGTTGTCTCAGACCAGAGTCGTCTAACGACCCACGTGTACATGGTCACTCGTGGAGTTGTCGGTGGACTTAATAATAAACATACAGAAAGACAAGACGGTGTCCTAAGAGCTACATTACACAAACAAAACACGCGTGTGTACATGTCTCGTTCCCCCAGAAAGGGCATCTCGCACCCCCCCCCCCCCCCCATGGGTGCAGCGTGAACCCCCAGGTGAAGAACCACCACGATACCACGTTGCAATGGGCAGACGAGCACTTGACGCTCAATGCACAAACCACGCCCCCCGTCTCTTCTGAGCCCGACAGCTGAGCAGGGTTCAAGCCCCGAGAGTGCTTGGGATGAGCGACCACCACGCACATAATGGGTCGCCATAGGGCAGCAGGGGAGAGTGAAGCAACATCAATTGTTGTATTGTACTGTCGCCCGTGTCTATGGTTCCCCACCCCCCCCACCTCCCACCTTCGCCGACCCATGCCAATAAGCGCGGTGAATTTTTGTCAAATAACCCCTATGGCCAGGCGTGCGTAGGCCCCAATCCACCAGTGGATTGGCCAAAGGCTGTACACGCAAATGGAGTACAAGTACCAGAACCATTGTCAATGAAGAGAGTTGAACTTTAGAGGCGACTCTAGATTTGAAGCTTTCGTGACTGCAAGGATTCATACTCTTTGGTTCTATTCGGTAAAGTCACGCGACTTTACCGAATAGAACCAAAGAGTATTTAGAGTTGACCGTTTGGTCAATTTACTCAGACCCAACTTGACGTGGTCTAAATGTAATTGGGAAGCAATTGATATATTGGGTGTACATAATTAAATGCAACATCTGCAATTCATTTTGATTGAAAAAAACCGCAATGCATTTATTTTGATGCACTATTGGGACATTTGAGAATGGGTTGGAAGCCCTTCTCCCATTAGTCGCCAAATGCCTTTTTTTAACATTACAAAAAGTGGTTTAATGAGTTGACTGCTTCAGGCAATGGTTCTTCAGAGCAGAGAGAGGGGCAGAAAGATTTACTTGAGGTTGAAGATTGACCCTGTAAGGGCTTTGAGAAAATAATCAGTATTAATAAACTCGTTTAAATTGTTTTAAAAACGGTTTTATAAACAACTTCGTTTAACTCGCGGTCGAGGAGTACGTCAATGGCGCCTGAGGAATGCTGCGCCTGCGTTTTGCGCGAGCCAATTCCAGTTTAGGGACCACGGCGTTTTTAACCATATATATAAATAATTAGGCGTCCATACAAAATGTGAATTGCTTTAAAGTAGCGATTTAATTTATTAATTGATGCCGATTTTGCTACAGGCATGCATTATCATCGGATCTGAGTACGTGTGGAAAATATGGAATTGATTGGACAACAGAAAATGGGTGAAATTTTGATTACAAGATTTGACCCAGACAGAGGAATCAAGTTAAGTAAAACTGTTGAAAAATGCAACAATTTGAAACCGTTTGTACAACATTAAGAGTTTTCATGAATATAAATTAATGAGCAAACAAACACAAGGTAAAATGAGTCTGCATTCGATCTTAAAATAAATGTTAAATTAGCACATGGTGAGATGTATTTGTGCACCATTACGGATGCAATCCTCTCGATGTTGATGCATTTAAGAATGTGCAGGGGGGAGTGGTTGCATGGCTATAGAATAAGGCAAATCGAGCCAGCAGTTCTGATGTCCTGGGTTCGAACCCGGTGCCGTTTGCCCGTGAATAAACCATGTTCAAGTGTACTCGGCCTATTAAAATTTAGATTTTACCAGGTAAGGTCCACTTGGCTATTCAATTATTTTTCATGCGCGACCTGGCACAACGAAGTGGCTTATCACGTGGACATTTAGAGCACCAAAAATACGCTAAACGCACGTCGTTTCTAAATGTGGAGGGAAAAACGGAGTACTCCAAGAAAAATCAACGCGACGACTGGGAGAACATGCAAACTCCAAATATACAGCAGGTATCGGGGCCTATATTGAACCCACGACCTCCTGTATAACGGGCGAGGAAGTTAACATTTTGCCACCGTGGCGCCCCTAGTTTTCAGCGACTGCACAATAACATCCCATGAAACTTGGTTTTACACTTAATTTAAATAACGTTCTTTTCTAAGCATTAAAAATATGTTTGAACGCCATGCAATGAACCTGTGAAAAACAACAAGGTCTGTTGAAGGGATGTCAGAAGTAGTTCCGTGATATCTGCTTCCGTGGGCTATGCCCTAACACAGTGATGCACTGCTCTGCAAAGTACAGCGCGTGACAGGACGCTGCTCGCAAAATAGCAATAACATTGCGAGAGAAAACATGTAAATAAAATTGTCTTTAGTTTAAAAGGAAAACCGGGGTATGAGTTATGGTGCAAGAAATATATTTTGGTATCACATTTGTCACTTTGTACTATTCTTTACAGAGTGCTGCTGTACGTGTTTATATTCATATGAACCGCATTATGTTGTATTAAAAACAATGTAATTTAAATATTCATTAAGATAGTCATCTGCAGTGATATACTAATAACAATTGTACATTGTTTACAGATATTTACATCGCACAACTCGACTCAATTTTACTCCAATTTAAATATTTGTTTTTAGACAGAGCCAAGGGGAAAAAAGCAGGCAATAATTCTACTCACTCTAGACTTAACAGTTGCAGCAGCACAAGTCAAAATAAACTTTAGCTTTTAAATGTACATTTAAATTGTAACGGCATGTTTCTGGAACCCGGGTAGCGAGTGTGGGGCTATTAAACGATTGACGATAGCTTTAAAATGCATTCCTTACCGCTTTCCCTTGCTCCTTTGAAAGATACCCGAGTCACTGGAATAAGTTCTGAAGGCAATCGATTCACAGTACTTGTGTAGTGCTGTGAATTCACTCGGACGACAAACGCATTTCTTCCACCGTCACTTTTATTTCCATCGTTCCGCACACACACATACTTTATAATTTCACACACACTATAATTTCTCCTCTCCGCGCTCCGACAACTCGAACACTCGAATTCCCCTCAGCACCGTCCGCTCATACGCCTCGTCTTCCCACACAGTCTCTTCGTCTATCTATCCATCTCCTCACACGCAGCGACTCGTCCATCTCCTCACACGCAGCGACTCGTCCATCTCCTCACACGCAGCGACTCGTCCATCTCCTCACACGCAGCGACTCGTCCATCTCCTCACACGCAGCGACTCGTCCATCTCCTCACACGCAGCGACTCGTCCATCTCCTCACACGCAGCGACTCGTCCATCTCCTCACACGCAGCGACTCGTCCATCTCCTCACACGCAGCGACTCGTCCATCTCCTCACACGCAGCGACTCGTCCATCTCCTCACACGCAGCGACTCGTCCATCTCCTCACACGCAGCGACTCGTCCATCTCCTCACACGCAGCGACTCGTCCATCTCCTCACACGCAGCGACTCGTCCATCTCCTCACACGCAGCGACTCGTCCATCTCCTCACACGCAGCGACTCGTCCATCTCCTCACACGCAGCGACTCGTCCATCTCCTCACACGCAGCGACTCGTCCATCTCCTCACACGCAGCGACTCGTCCATCTCCTCACACGCAGCGACTCGTCCATCTCCTCACACGCAGCGACTCGTCCATCTCCTCACACGCAGCGACTCGTCCATCTCCTCACACGCAGCGACTCGTCCATCTCCTCACACGCAGCGACTCGTCCATCTCCTCACACGCAGCGACTCGTCCATCTCCTCACACGCAGCGACTCGTCTATCTCTAACTCTCCCTGTACCTATCTCTCCCGTAACTACCACTCTGCTAACGTTAACTCTCCCTATCGCTATTTACTGTCCTCTGGGTTCGGCTCTCAATCTATTCTTCCCTAACATTTTCCAGCTCCCGTCTCCTCACCTCTCGCTGCTCTCCTCACCTCTCGCTGCTCTCCTCACCTCTCGCCAACAACTCCCCTACAACAACTCAACTCCCCGTCCAAATCACCTCGCGTTTTATCCCCTTTCCAATCAGCCTTAATTAATTGCCACGTGCCTCGCTGGTATTTTCCCGCCATATCCGCACCTGTCCAACGGCCCAGACTTCGTGACGCCCCACTTAACGCTAACAGCCTCTCGACCAATCACAGCCCTCGTGCCTTGACTCCCTTAATTACTTCGGGTTTGTTTACGCCACCCGTGACTTCACCACCTGCTCGACCTTATGTGACCCACACTGTTTGTATGTCTGTATGTACTGTATATGGCCAATTTGCCCATGCGTATCTTTTACTCCACTACACTTGCATCACCATGCTCTTTACGAAACGAAACTGATGCGAATATTTTTTTACGTGAGCAGTACTTCAATACCTTTTTAAAGTAAGGCTGTAAGACCTTTTGCTCATCACCTTTGACACATGTTTAGCTTGAATTGCAGCTTCTTCGAGGATTTTTTTTTAAATGATGACCATTGTCATTGCCATCATTACATTGACTACAACAGGAAGTCTCAATGGATCGCGTTGCAACAGGTCAAATGCAGAGGGTGCAGGGTTCAGGGAGCAGCGGTGCAGGAACATTGAATAATGGGAGTGCGGTATGCACATTGCGGCTCGCAAGTTGAGCTGGTAGTTTTAAATATTTGGGCGTGTTTACGCCCTGCCAAAGTAAGGTTAGCACATAGCCCAAAGCATATTCTTTAGAAGTTTTTCACACTCGCGGCCAGTCGGCTAATCGTGGCCAGTCGGTGTGTGTGTATCTGTTCAGAGGTACAGACACCAGCATTGCGATACATTAGACGCGTATTTCTGCGTTCCCCCTTTGAAAGAGTTTCATGGCAGCAGGTTGGTTTGCAGCCGAGTATTTGGGTTATTCTCCCAAATGCAAACCGGCGCCACTATCCCTGCCAGTTTGCCGAGGCCTGCAAGTGAGCGTCCACAATATGCGCACGTGATTCGTTTCAGTTTTATTTTTTCAACGGTTTTACTTAACTTGACTCCTGTGTCGTGGTCAAATCTTGCAATAAAAATTTAGTCTACTTCCAGTTGTCCAATCAATTATAAATTTTGCACACGTACTTGGATCCGGTGACAATGCATGCCTGTATGAAAATCGGCATCAATTCATTCATTAATTGCCTCCTTTCAAGCAATTACAATTTTGGTATGGACGGCTTATTAATTATATATTTTTGTCCAGGTCAACGCCACGGTCCCTAAACTGTGGAATAGGCTCACGCAAAGCAGGCGCCGCGTATCTCAGGCGCCATTGACGTATTTCTCGACAGTCAGTTAAACAAAGTTGTTAATAAAACCGTTGTTTATGAAAAACTATTTTAAAGTAGTTTATTTCGTGTTTTTTTTTGTTTGTGGCCGATTTAAGTGTTGTCGCACGTTGAAATACTGGCAAGTCGTAGGTTCTGTCGTGTTCGAGGTACGTTGGATGCGGTAGCTGCCTGGCCAACTGGCTTCTTGCGGAAGTAATTAAATTCGACGGTAAATGTGAGCTGATGAAGATTGCCGTGACGTCTTTGTGAGTGCAATATTTGCTCTGACTTCCCACTTTTACTGCCGCGTTATTTATGTAAATTGATTGATTGTGAGACGATGCAAATGCACCCAATTGTATTCGTGTGTGTATGGTATGCGGGAATTTGTTTTGTGGTTTTTATTCACTGTCAAAAGGCAATGCCAAGGTAAATGAAAATATTGCCAATAATGCGATCGATTATTTTATTTTGTTGGCTATGTGTTTACGTGGGAATTTTGTAATTTATATTTCGTTTTCACTTCCAAAAATCAATACGTTGCCATTGTTTTGGATGATTTGTTGTCTTCGTCTACAGATATGTAAATGCATACCAAACAATGTAAAATAATCCGTTGCATTATTGACATTATTATTAATATTAGCATTGCCTTCTCACGGTGAATAAATACAACAACAAAAGTAAACAAAACAAGTTCCCGGTACCTTTTTACTTACACTGTTATTCGTGAAGCTCCTGCGGTAACGTCCTTTGTGACTGAAAGGAGGAGCTATTTAATCCGGACAACCTGGCTTCTAACTTTTTAATCTTTGCAAACTATTTATTTCCGTTGTATCGTCAGGGTTCCGTACTATTAACAGTCAGAGCAAATAAAATGTGAGCGTAAGTTACCTACGTGACTTTACCGAAAGAACCAGAGTACGACTGTAATGGTTTACGTATGTTGACAAGCACGTTCCGTCGTTCGTTTATTTTGAGCCAGATAAGCTCTTAAATCGTGGTTCTTGTCACAGGTTTGCGGTGCGTTTTGGGTCAATGCCATGCTTACGCTCGCATTGAATTTGCTCCGACTGTTAATAGTACGGAACCCTGACGATACAACGGATAATAAATAGTCTGCACAGATTTAAAAGTTCGAAACCAAAATAAAATAAATTTTATACCTATGTGACTTTACTGAAAGAACCAAAAAGTATGAATCCCTGCAGTCGCGAAAACTTCAAATCTAGATCATTACAGTCGATCATAGCGGATGAACGAGGGTCTAATGCAGCGTACGTCCGAGGACGTCCACGTGCGAGATGGATGAATGAAATCGGCTCGTCGTGGATTGTTACATCGCAGAGCTGTAATAAATAGACGACTTTGGGAGGCCTTCATCCAGGAGTGGATTGATCATGGCTGCCTCCGATTAATGTGCGAAGGGTATTTAAAAGCAAGGGCAATTCCAGCTGCTATCCATGTCCATGCACTCAACCCATGAATTCCAGTATTTGCTTGTGGTGAACTTAACATCTTCGTGACCAGCATACACGAGGTTGAAACGGCGAGTTTTGTTATCTTAACACTTGATTTGTTGCCTGAAAAAAGGGGAAAACCTATTCTCATTTGGTACTGGCAAAGGAGGTCTCATGATTAAGTTTTGTAATCATGTCCTCTTTTAGACTGGAGGAAAAGGTGCCAGCCCGACAATTGTTTGCTCACGACATTGCTCATGGATGGGCCTCTACAGTAATCTCTATGGAACCCTTAGAGAGTATTTGGCCTACTCTTCCATATTGTCGAAATGTCTTGGAGGGAGTACCGACGCGGTTGATCCTAGCACGGGCGACCTGCCAACTGACCGGTGTACCGATTTATACTTCCGAGTGGACAGGCGCGGGAGGGGATTTATAAAAAAAAAACTTACACCCATGATTGCATTTCTGCATCTGGTGATCAAACCGGAGACCTCTAGACCCTCCCGTGAGCTAACATAGTACCACGATTAGCACGGTCGCAACTCCGGTTAGCACGGTGCGAAATAAGTTCAACATACAACCCGTATTGACCTACGTGATTTTTAGGGATTTTTCATCAGTTCTGCACTTTTTTAAAGATTACGCTTGTCTTTTCCAAAAACGTGTTGTGATTGCGCTTTCGGTATTGTGTCATGAGATGAAGACATTTGAATCTGGAAACCCTTGCAGCCAGCAGTGCACTCAATGCGTTGTGTTGGAAAATAGTGCCAGAAAGAATAAAATGCCACATTCGGTGTTTAATTACAATGATATAGCCTTCAACAGGCACAAACCGTACCTTGCACTTGTTGATTAGATTGAAAAAGATTACGTGTTACATTTTAAATCAAACTGAACATTTAATATTTTACATCTAGAGTAAGCCAAATGAATTCATACCCCCGATTTAACACGACGATTGCTTTTCTCCTTGTGCGGTCATCGGCGACTGTCGCCTCGCTCGAACCGAGTGCCGCTGTCATCGCAGATTGCTCATTTCCGAACTCAACCCCCCCCCCACTTAACCACCCAGCCACCTTCGTAAATGAGTTTTTTTTATTTTTTCCACTTCTGATTTATCTTTCAATAAGAAGCCCTGTACAGAGCACTAAACGCGATGCAGAAACCGGAAACTCTGCGGACATTCGCGTCGCCCCGTCTCCGTGCTTCTGGGTTTAGGAGGGGGGGGGGGGGGAAATTGCGTGGGTGCAGCGAGCGTGGAGCACGTTGTACTTTATGTCAGCACCTGGATAGATAAGGGAAGAAGAACTTGAGGTCAAAGGAAAGACAATAGAGGGAGCGAGGAGGAGGAGCGGAGGCATTAATGCCTTTCAATGCAAGCCGTTTTGTTGTTGCTGTTGTTTAATGCTTTGTGATTTTTCAGGTCGGGACTTCGGCGGGTTTCTATTGAAGTGTGAGGACGAACGGAGGAGTCTCCTCTGTGCCTTGACTCTTCAACCAGCCTGGGGGAGGGGAAAGAGGTCCCAGGGCCCAACGCGATGGCCCTACTCCCTGTGCTGCTCCTCTCCGCTGCCCTCTCGTCTCTCGGTTGGCAGACCCACTTGGACGCCAGCGAGTTGTTGTGGTGAGCGATGACAGCCAGCGCACCTGATAGTAGACAGGATATATGGGGGGTACTTCACCAGGACGCCACGTCAGCAAGATGTTTACTAGCTCGCCTGGTATACAGGATGTCATGGGTTTGATCCCGGCCTTGACGCCTGCTGCTGTATATTTGGAGTTTGCGGTGTCTCTCTCGCTGTGGTCATTTGGATTTTTCTCCGGGTCCTCCGATTTTTCCCTCCACATTTCAAATCAACATCACACGTGTAGAGTATTTGGCTGCTATAAATTTCCATGTGATAAGCCACTTTGAGCTGTTATTTGTGGCCAGGTCGCTTCTGAAAAAAGAGCTACATAGCTCAATGGCCCTTACCTGGTAAAATAAAAATAGATTATTTTTGAGTTTAGCTTGCACGAAACACTCGGACAATATACCTTTTGATTTATAGTGTGTGCTGTAGATGTGTATGGGATGCTTCAGTGGTCTAACGATTCATCTAATGACCTCTAGAGGGGGGAGGTCTCTTATGCGCTCTCTAGTGAAAACCCTTCCACCAGCAGTGACTTTAAACAAGTGATTGCAGGGCTGCACCTTTATGCCTTTTTTATCAGATGAGCTTAGCACTT